GGGTGGGTTTTCTATAGTTGAAAGCCTTGAACTGAGGTTCCCAAGGAAGGGCTCTGCCTTTAGGTTCAAGACTTTAGGTTCATTTTTTAAATTTTTGATTTGCTAGCCCTCACAATTGACTCGGTGCCTTAAAATCTCTCTCTCACGCGCATGCCTCTAAAAACTTCCTGTTATATTGGTTGTTTTTCTGCAGAACCCTACTTCCATCATTACTGGCTTAATTCAAAGCCTTTTCACTCACTTTTGTCACATCCCTTTTATGGCCCCCAGTCAGTGGCTTGAATTGCAATTACTTCTCATTTTGCTTTGTGTTTAGCAAGCATATTCCCAGGACAATAAAAATCCAAACATATATGACCCAGGCGTCAAAAATTGCTGCGAAACAAAACACCAAGTGAATCACCCTTCAAATAACTTCAATGTCTTTGGTGTCACAGGTGTTTTTTTTGGGGGGGGGCGGGGGTTTCCGAGACAGGGTTTCTCTGTATTATTTTGGAGCCTGTACTGGAATTCGCCCGGCCCAAAATCTTTATGTATTTTTTAGGTATGAGTGCTCTGTATGCATGTATGCCTGCATGCCAGAAGAGGGCATCAGATCCCATTATAGATGGTTGTGAGCCACCATGTAGTTGCTGGGAATTGAACTCTGGACCTCTGGAAGAGCAGCCAGTGCTCTTAACAGCTGAGCCATCTCTCCAGCCCCGTCACAGGTCTTACTAAGACAACATAGTGACTTTCAAGAGTATGGGAAGATGTGCCACAATGTCTGCCATTCTGATTTTCAAGTTGGCAAAGCTGACCCTGCAAACCATGCCTAGGTCCAAGACAGGCAAGAGACTGATCATCCATGGGATGGGATGCAAGGAACTACATCTAGGTCCAAGATGGGCAAGAGACTGGCCAGCCATGGGATGGGCTGCAAGGAACTGCACGAGGCCAAGGTTGAGTTCATACAAACCTGTCTTTCCTTCTAGGAGTTAATCGATCAGACTATCTTGAACTTCAGCAAGGGCCTTGGGCTTCTGCCATGACCTCTGATGAGAGAAATGCGGTTAGGACACAAGGACAAATTAATTACTAGCTGACTGGGTTTTATTGGGGCATGTAGCAAACTTAAACTTCTAGAGATTGGTTACTTCATTTTTTCAGCTCAGCTATCACAGATGGGAGAACAATAAAAAACCCTGGGTAACAGACAGGCGGTAGTGGCACATACCTTTAGTCCCAGTACTCAGGAGGCAGAGGCAGAGACAGGCAGATCTCTGTGAGTTCAAGGCCAGCCTGGTCTACAGATTGAGTGCCAGGACAGGCTCCAAAGCTACTCAAGAGAAACCCTGTCTCAAAAAACCAATCTATCAATAAATCAATAGAACCCGGGTAAGAACCAGAACCCAGAACTCTGAAACTGTGAGAAGCTGGAGCAATGGGCAAGTTCTACAGGGACATTTTAATGAAGAGATAGGGACCTGGTCACGTATAGAAAGGGGAGAGGGCTAGATTGTCAAGAGGTGAGCTGGAATTTCAGCAGTGGCCTTGGGAATCAAGCAGTCTGTAGTGTCCTGCTCTCTTATCTGACAGTGACTACTTGGGACAGTTTTCACTCTTGCCAGCCTCGGGCTCTAGTGAGGACCAGGAAAGCAGCCATCCTGGGTGAAGACGGCTGTATGGGGCAGGACCATGAGCTAAATGGTCTTGGTCAATTTATTTGACTTCTCTAAGAACTATCCACTTTATAATCCATAATGACAACAATGCCTGCTTTGTGTGGTTGTTTTTTAAGGATTAAACAGTTAACACATAAAGCAATATTTGGATTTGGCACAAACCATGTTTAGCAAATTTTGTTTTCAGACAGGGTCTCTCTATGAAGTCCTGGCTGTTCTGGATCTTGTTATAAAGACTAGGACAGCCTTAAACTCACAGATTCTCCTGCCTCTGCCTCCTGAGTGCTGGGATTAAACTAAAGCTTTAGCTTTTATCATTATTTTAATTTATTGTATTGTGTGTATGTTTGTGTGTTTGGAGGGATGGTGGTGTGTATGTGTGCAGTCTGTAGGTGGAAGTTAGAGGACGCTTCTCCTGTTTCAATCTCCTACCTCACCATGCAAATGCTTTGACCTACTGAGCCATTTCCCTGCTACTCAATTAAGTTTTCAACAGGCCTTTGCAATATTAATTGAACAATATGACAGTTACCTTCAAATGTTTTTATGGGCTTTACTTAGCTAGAAGAGAGAACAAACACGCTGGAAAATCTGCAGGAGGCACACAGGAGTTACAAGTCCTTTCTACTAAACAGTACAGTCTAGAGATGGAAGTCGTGGTCCTGGATGTTAGAACATGATGCTACAGTCATCTGTTGGGACAGTGCAGGCTAACTGGGTGGAAGGAATCCTAGGGACCATATCTAAACCTGAGACTATCCTTCTTGCACTTACTTTTTTGGATCTCCTTAGCCCAGAGGTACAGATCATTTACACACAGCCTGTTCGAACAAGTCCAAGAATGGAGCTGGATGAGAATTATGAGTGCTGGTGAGAAAACTCAAAGAAAATAAGAGTCGTGGGAACTCAATTTCTTCAAAAACTTGGAATTGTTCTTGGAATGTGTTTATGTGCCCCTCCCAAGTGTAGCAGATAGAAGTGAGTGTAATTCAGACTATTTGTCACAACTGGCTGCTGTTATTTGCTTACATGCCCCTATGTAAAAACATGTTTTGTCAAATGCAGCTTGTCCTTGTGATTGTATATAGGCTGACCTCAGGAGAACTTTACTCAGGTGACCTTTCTTAACCCTCAGAGTATAAACTGTCTGATGCTCTGAATAAAGTGGGCCTCATTTTTAACCTTTGCCTTTTCCAGGTCCAACCACCAACTAGAGCGATGAATTATCAGCCATGCTCTGAAAATTCCAGCAAAACACTGAAGTCTCACCTGAGTCTCCTAAGTACCCCAGAACTTAGTTACCTTTAGTCTAGGTGATGGAAATGAAACTAGACAAGCTCTTATTTTGCCTTGGAGAATCAATGGCCTGTGAGCAACCAGGATCAACATCCTTTTTTGTAAATAGCCAAGACACTAAAATATAACACAAAGCAGTCTCTGATACCTCAGGCCACTTTGGTAACACAGCAAGTCCCAGAAGACATAACTGCAGGTCAGTGCCACACATAGGGGACCCAGCCAGTCATTACATGTGGAAGGCAGAAGGCGGCAGAGCAGTTCTGTGAATAAAACTTTAATGATGTACAGCAGAAATTGGACAGGCTCGTTCTTATATTAAAACAAAAAATTTCCTATATTACAATATATTTACATTTGCATACTGAAGAGGTAAAGTGTCTAAGTGGCTATTTTACAATCCTTTCTAATAAATTGTACAAAAAACAAACAGAAGTACCGAGAATGCCGTTCAAGGGCCTTGACAGCGGCAACCTAAGAACGGGCTTGGACTTGGTCTGTGAATCCAGAATCCAGAATCCAGAGGTGCAGGTAGCCCTGTGGATCAGGGTAGCCTCAGGGAACCAAAACACAGCTTCGGTTTCTCCCAACTCTCAGCTTAATGTAAAGAGTAGTGGGACAGGGGTGGAGTTTCCCCAAAACCTGCTCAAGTCTTCCTGAGAGGCGGATGAGCTGGACTCCACAATGGGGGCAGAAGGGCCCCCAGGAGTAGGGTGGTGGCACAGGAGTCACTGTGTGGGTGTATGCTGAAGGACAGCAGAGGATTCTACAGTTCCATCGTCATCTGTAATCATGAAGGTGCAGCTGCAGGGTGGGGGTGAGACGTCAGCAGGGGTGGGGTAAGAGGTTCCCCCAATGACACAATTAGGACTCAAGGGAAATTGTTCAATGGCCAGTAAATTGGCCCAAAGAATTAAAGGAAGATCCCCTTTAATGCAAGGAAAGAAGTTATACATCAGGAAATAAATAGAAAGGCTAAGAGTATGGGGGGAACAAGGCCAGAGAAGTGGACTGAGGCAGTTTCCCTACAGGTATATACATACTCATGCCTCCCCTGGGGCAGGAAGGGCACACAATCAAGGCAGTGCTTTGGGGTCTCACCTGGGTTTCTCAACTCCAGGCCTCATTGCTCACCAACGGGTCTCTCTGCCCGAGGGGATACAGGCTCCTCTCTCCTCAGTGGTCTTAAGAACAGTAATCCTAAGCTCATAAAGGCTCTCAGTACCAGCCATGGGCCCTTCTGGTCTCAAAGTGGGTGCTCATCCACTCATGATTCCGTTTCTCCTTCCATGCTCCAGGTGCAGCACCCAAACCTGTCTCGCTCGCAGAGGTCCTCCCAGCTCCAGCACTCAGCAGCACTCAACCCAAATATGCTGAGCAAATGTCTGGAAAGGGAGCAACCAGGTGGACAATGCACGAGAGGCTGAGGGTGCTCAGGGATGGGGATGTGCATGGAATACAAGCCACCAAGTCCCCAGGGGGAGGAGGAACTCACTGCTGAGTGGAAACAGGCTCAGGTGCAAAGACAAACATTTCCAGTGACTGAACTATGTGCGTTTGATTCTAGAGAATTTTTTTTTTTGTGGTGTTTTGTTTGTTTTAGGGATTTCTTTAAAAACAAACAGACTAAGAGGTAATTGTCACATAGAGATGGTTTTCCTTTTACAAAAACTTAACAGTATTAAAGTTAAAATCCTGACCCTCCCAATAAAATAAAATAAAATAAAATGAATTAAAATAAACCACTCCAGTTAAAAGTTATGGCTTCAAAGTTATTATATACCTAAGATATGCTGACCAAATCACCACCCACAGCCAGGCTTCTAGAATTCATTAAATACTACATTTAGGTTAAACACCATATTCAACTCAGATTGCTCCCTTCAGTGGGGACCCTGAAGTGGATGCGAATCTCTCATCTTCCCTCTACCCTCATCAGAGACTCCAGTACAAGAAGGCTCATGCAGATGCCTCCCTCCCACCCTTGGCTCCCTCCCCACCCCCTATAGCCCATCCCTTCCCACCCCAAACCCACCACCACCACCACCACCACCACCAAAAATATACACTGCAGTTTGCAGAATCTGGGGTGGGACAAACAGATGTCACATTCCAATCTGAGTTCCAAGATCTGGCTTCAGATCCCTTGGCCCCTCCTCACTGCGGTTGAGGAAGATGCCCTTGGGCTGGCTCATTCCCATGGCTGATGCTGAAACACAACACCCAAGACTTGCTCAACATTCTTCCTTCCTCTGCTCTTCCCCCACCCCCTATTGTGACCCAAAAGCCTCTCCTACCATGGACAAGTGGGCCAGCTTTGGTTCTGGTCTGAAAGGAAGAAGAGGGCCTGTGACACAGGGCGGGCAATCAGCCTGCTGAGAAGAGGGCCACCCTGACAGGAGCTAGGGACAGGAGGGACCTTCAGGAGGGCACCAGGTTAACGAGATGCCGCTCACTGTGACAGGTGCCAGCACTCAGAGACAGTATGGCCACCACACCCTGGCCTGCACATGCACAGAAAGCTCAAGCAGATAAGTGTGCACCTACAGACACACAAACACACACGTGTAAGGGCGTGGCACAGACCAGGCACAATGTGGGACACACCTCGGCACATGCACACTTGGCTGGACAGACAGGCAGCAGGTGGTATCTCTATTGGCAGTCCCTCCAGATGTCCATGAGGAAGGGGGTGGTGTGGCTCAGGACTGCCTGTGAGAGGGGCTACACTTCCGGTTCCTCTGAATACCTTGGTGCCAGGTTGACTGGTCCCTGGAGGAAAACCTGCAGTCCAGCAGACCACAAGGTATAGGGGCTGCTCCGGGGAGAGCCCAGCACCCCTTCACATTCCTGGCTACAAGCCAGAAGCACTGGGTTTTGTGTACTTCCCACTGCAAGCAGTTTGACTTGTGGCATCGAGTTCTCTACATAATTTGCTCTCAGAGTCTCCATGCCATCAGGAGGTAAATATAAAAAGTGTCTGTGTCTCAAACCCAATATGGGAGTGTGCGAGTCTCCCAGGCTCTGTCCCTCTTGCAGGCCAGGGCTCTGGCCAGAGGGCTGGGCAGAAACAAGAGGTAGGCCTCCAGTACGCTTGCACGGTGGCTGCAGTCACCCTCACTGCCCAGGTTCGTTGTGCAGGCAGAGGAGCAGCTTAGATCTTCACGTCTTCTTGCACACTCAGCTGGGACAGAGTCTTCTTGATGCGCAGTGCTGTCAGGCGGGCTGCACCATTGGCATACCAGCACTCCCGCATCATCTTCCCCATCACCCGCAAAGCCTGCACAGAGAAACGCACAGTGACCCACAGAAGCCTTGGCCACTGGCACTGGCTCCTTGCTGCCTCCCTGTCAGTCAGATCAGACCCGCCCACAGTGTTTTGGATGCTTTCGTCTTTCGGCTTTTCCTTCCCCAAGGGGCAGGTGTACAGGGAAGAAAATGGCAGCATCGGAAGGCTGGTCCTTTCAGCTCCACACTCAGCTAAATCCACTTCCAGGTGCCCAAGGTACATTCTGGGAAAAAGCCCCCTAGCGGCCAGGCTCTTTAAGAGCGAGGCGAGCTCTCTCTACTGGCGGTAGGGTAAGTATATAGGGAGAGAAAGCCTTTAACCTGCAAGCTTTGTAGAATTAGCAGAGCTTAGACCTCAGAGGTTCTTATTAGCAGTCTTAAAGTTAAGTGGGTAAATGAAAGGGGTGTTAACTGGCTTGACTGTGGTACTGTTCACAACCTACTCTGGATGTGAAGTCAGCACAGGAAACCTCAATTTTAAGTTTGGCAAGAGCTCCTTTTCTTCTAGGCTTCTCTTCCAAGGGAATACTCTAAAATGGCCAGAAAAATGACTATAGCAGCAAAGAACTCAGTGTGTAGTGGCACAAACTGAGCACCCCATGTCTGAAATGCGTGGGACAGGAAGTGCTGTGGATTCTGGATCCTCTCAGAGTCTGTAATATCTACATATACATTTACACAGAGAAGGAACTAGAGCCACTTCTGAGCAGGAGACTCACCCATGCCTCCTATCTACTTTAAACTCACAGTCTCAAGGCGATTCTGTGTTAATATTTTCAATGTGTCTGCATATGACTATGACCCATTACATGAAGCTAGGCAAGGAATTTTTCTAGTTGCAGCACTATCTTAATGATCAAAAGGTTTTATATTGTGGATTTAAAGACAAAAGATATACTTAAATGCAAACCTGGGAGTTGGCCCATTAAGAAATAAACAAAAACCCTTCTTCCAGTAGAGAAACTCGAAAGATGGAGGAAGTCACAGGAGTCAAGCAAGCGCCTACCTCATAACTCTGCCACCAGTTGGGGACATTGGGCCGTAACTTCTGGTCACAGACGACCTTTCTCATTTCCTCAATGGAAGGGTCGGAGGGCACCAAGTCATAGTATGGCAGTTGATATTCTTCATGGACTCCTAGGAGAAAAGAGAATAGCCTCATTACCACAGAAGGACCCCATGCTGTGAGCTGTGTAACCATTTCTCACCAAGATGAACCCAGTTCTTCTATAGAAGGCTGCTGACTCCAGGCTGGCAACACGCAGCACCCCAGAGCACAGCCACATGCACGCATGCACGCACACATGCGTGCACATACACACGCGCGCACACACACACACACACACACACACACACACACACGCGTGCACATACACACGCGCGCGCGCGCACACACACACACACACACACACACAGGCCTTTAGTTCCAGCATGTGGGAGGCTAGAGCAGAGTACTGTGAGTTTAAGCTAGTCTCATAACCCCATCTCAAACAGAAACAAAGTAAAAACAAAAACTGACAAACATAGCCAAAAAAGGTCTTAATTCATAAAAAAAAAAAAAAAAGGGCACAGAAAATGTCCTATTACTAGGGTCACGTGAACATTTTCCAATGGGCCAAGTTCAAAACATCTAAATAGACTAGGAAGTCTGATAGAAGCAATATTTGATTTTATTTGATTTTATTGGATGTGAGGCCGGTCTGGCTTTGACATCTGGATTGCCAGGGTTTACTCGGCTGACCTGGCTGGCTAGGTGAGTGTTCCCTTCCTGCCTTACTGCTAAGCTGCACACTTTCCCCATATGGAGGAGGACCAGTCTTCAGTCAAGTGTACACAAGTAGCTGATCTCCCCTGCTTGAACCTCCAAACAAGCTTTCAAGGTTCTGTTCTGTTCTTTTCTTTTGAGACAGGGTCTTTCTATTTAGTCCTAGCTGTCTTGGAATTCACTAAGTAGACCAGCTGGCCTTGAACTCAGATCCAGGGAACAGTATTTTAACTCATCAGTTCACAATAATACTAGAAAAAGAAAGCTCTGTCTCTCTGTCGGGTGCTGAGAGTGAAGTGGCTCTTCTGAAACCCCCGGGTGTTGGGAAGGAGTACATGCCTCCTGCACTTCCTATGCAAGCATACAGTGTGACAAGCAAACAGGTAAGTGGGTCAGGTAAAGCTGCATTTCATTATTTTCCCTTTTTTTGGTTTGAGACAGGGTCTTATATGGGGTTCAGGCTGGTCTTGAATCCAGAGTCCCCAGCCTCAGTTTCTGAGATGGGCTAAGGGTGTGGGCCAGCATATCCCCTGGCAGTCTTCCTTCTTCACAAGAACAAACACAGTGGACTCACAGGAGGTAAAAATCTGTAATGAAATGCTGGCATGTTGGATTTTTAACCTCTGATTGCCAACATCATAAAGGGAAGGACCAACATTCTGTACTTTGTATTAGAAGCCCAAGCTAATGCCCACGAAATATTTTTGCTCCAAATAAACAAAAAAAAATTTCCAGCCTAGATGTGATTCTAACTGATACCAAACTACCAATCCACAGGAAATAATCTGGAACAGGAGGCCACATGGACTGCACGAGAGGTGAGACATCTGACTGGGTTCTCCAACAGAGTGAAGTAAAGAAGGAAAAGTAGAGGTAAACTTGAAGAGTAAAAAGACTTGAGGGTGTATTAGCTGCAATGATGGCGTCTGCACTCCAATCTGAATTTGTGTGTGTTGTCAAACCCAAAGCCTCACACAACCCGGCAAGCACTCTACTACTACTTTACTACAGACATATGTCCTACCCCACTGTTCCCTTTTGTTTGCAAGATAGAGTCTAGCTATATGTAGCCTAGGCTGGCCTCAAAATCTGAATCCTCCCGTCTCAGCCTCCTGGGTACTAGGATCATAGGTCTGCACCACCACAACCAGGCAACAGGCACGTGCTCTACCACCAAACCACATCCATAGCACTCCTTCACCTCCTGACAGGGTCTCACTAAAATCACAGGGGGCCTTCAACAATCTGTAATCTTCCTGCTTCAGCACCCCATGATTCACTCTTAAAGTGAAGCAACTGTAGTGTTTTAAACCCTTATCTTTTAGATTTACACTTAAGAATCCACAGTGCAGGGCAGTGGAAGCACACGCCTTTTATCCCAGCACTCAAGAGGCAGGTGGATCTCTGAGTTCTGAGACCAACCTGGTCTATAGAGCAAGTTCCAGGACAGCCAGAGCTAAACAGAGAAACCTTGTCTCGAAAAACCAAGAAGGAATCCATAATAAAAAGTTACAAAATCCAAAGCTGGTCACAGTGATGCAGACTTGCAATCCTAGTACTGAGGAGACTGAGGAGAAGTAAGGGTTCCAGGTCAGTCTGGGGTGGAGCGAGACAGCTGTACTCTTCTCACCTTTGTCCCCATTCAAACAACAAACATCCCACTGCCCTGTGCTAAAGGGATACCTGGTTTGTTTATTTTTAGTGCGTGCGTGTGCGCGCGTGACTGTTAGAGAGAGAGACGGGGAAGGTGGTGCACATGCGGAGGTCTGAGGACACCTTTTGGGAGTTGGTGCTTTCTTACTTTGGGTTCTGGGGCTTAAAGTGAGGTTTTCAGGCTTGTAATAAAAGTAACTTTATCTTCTAAGACATTTTGGCAGCCCTCAGGTGAGATTTATTAATTTGATTGTTTGTATATTTATCAATTGTTTTTTCAAGATACAGTCTCTCTGTGTAGCCCTGCAACTCACTCTGTAGGCCAGACTGGCCTCGAATTCAGAGATCTGCCTGCCTCTGCCTCCCGGATGCTGGGGATTAAAGACATGTGCCACTACCACCTAGAAAGAATTTTTTCTTGAAGATTTATTTATTTTAGATGGTAGTGGTGCATGCCTTTAGTCCCAATCTTGGGAGAGAGAGGCAGACAGACCTCTGTCTTGAAACCTGGAAAGGAAAGATTTATTTTATGTGTCTGAGTGTTTCCTCCATTTGTGCACCACATATGTGCCTGGTGCCAGAGGAAGGAGTCAGATGCCCTGGATCTAAAGACAGGGATGGCTGTGAGCTGCTACATGAAAGCTGGAAACCCGGGTCCTCTCTAAGAGCAGTAGGCGCTCTTAACCACTGAGCATCTCTCCAGCCTGAGAGGTAAGATTTTTAAACAGAGAGTTTGCTTTGATAACAACTATCTGAGGAGCACTTGGGAGCTGAAGCTCATGCCTTGACCTGCTAGAGTTTCAGCTACGTGACCTTCATACATTACTTAACCTTTCTTTGACTCATTTCCTTCATCTACAAAATAAGGATAACATTTGTATTTACTTCACAAGTTCGCAGTGAAGATATTAATGAGTGCATGAGCCAATGGTGAAGACACGCTGCAGTTACTGGACATTGAACCTTAGTTTTTGGATGTCACTAGAAAGAACTTCTTCACAGTGTAAGCGTTGTATGACAGGGCTAAGGAGACGGCTCTGGGGTGATGGGCCTGTGTGTAAGCATGAGGAACTCAAGTAACAGCTAGGGCACATAACATCCAGGACATGCCTGTAACCCCAGTGCAGGAGGAGAGATAAAGACAAGAGGATTCCTGGAAAACCTTAGCCAATCAGTCTAACTCATAAGCTCCAGGTTCAGTCTCAAAAACATGAGATGAACTTCTGGCCTCCACATACACACACATATGCACACACATACCTATGGGAACATGTACATCATGGACATACATCACACACACTCAATAATTTTTAAAAAGACCCGTGACAATTTTCTTTGTGGAAAGAGGGATGCTGGGGCTTATACTATACATACATACATACGTACATATACATACATATGTATATATTACATTCTAGCACTACCATTGAGCTACACTGTATCTCCCGAATTTTCCTAACCAGCTTTACTTAGTCACACTGATTACAATCTAAGAGGCCCAAACCCATGAATACCCAAGTATCTCCTCCATTACTTGTATCTAACCACACACACCATGGCCAGAAAAGGGTATGAACAGAAAAAAGGGCCCCACTGGAAAATCTACCAGCTATTTTTAATCCAGCTACTTCCACTGCCCTAGGACCTCTCATCAGAGGTGAAAGGCTGAGGGGGAGGGCTCTAGAGGCTCTGGAAATGGAGCACATGCTGGAATATTTGGAGGCCATCATAAAACACATAAGCTGACAATAAAAAATTTTCCTGCTAAATCTGATGCTACCTTTTCTCCAAGTTTTGACAGGAGCAAGCAACTGTAACTGTCAGGTTTTTGTTTTGTAGTTAAAGAAACTCCTAAGCACTCCTGTCAACCAGGAAAGTTCCACTCTTAGTGCAAGGAGCAAACACAAAGGTTCTCCAGAGATGTGGCTAGGAATGTCTGGAAGGCCTACATGTTAGAACAAACTGCCTCTGATTCCTAAGACCTTCCCTTAAGCCTGGCCCATGTGCATCCTAGGGATTCTCTCCACTGTGACTTAAAAATAAAGACAGTGAAGGGGAGGGGAGAGGGAAAAAGAGAGAGTGTGTGTCACATGTCTAATGAGCTATCAAAATGGTTATCACAAAAAACAACACTATTTAACAAGCTGGTCCCCGGGCTTGGAGAGTATGGAAGAGTCTTGTCTAGTATGAACAAAGCCCCGAGTTCATCCTTAGCCCATGCAAATGAATAAAACACCAGGCTGCCTCTCATTTCAGCACAACTGGCTGTGGAGAAGTGGGGCACCATTGAGTAATTCATAACATTGAAAGCCGGATGAAGAGTAGACAGTACCTCCAGAATTGCATCTTCGAGCAATCTCCCAGTATACAAGTCCAAGAGCATAGATATCAGCACACTTGAAGGAGTCAAAGTGCTTCATGTTGATGGTTTCATCAAGTACTTCAGGAGCCATGTATCTGGAATGGCAAGAGACACAGTTATGCACAGTATATGAGGTCTGGATGTGTAAGAACACTGCTCCAATGCAGCTATCTGAGAAGCAGCAGTGAGCACTTGTCTCTACTGCACAACCTACTTTGGATTCAAAGCTACAAGTTTCAGCATAGATGACTTTTATCGGAGCCTGTTTGGATTTCTTGACACAGTGTGTGTTGTGGGACCATACACGTAGTGACAGCAGGTTGCTACTGGAGCCTTCTCTTTACAGGGGAGACACAGTGATGGAATGAGCTTAAATTCATTCTGAATTTCTGTTCTCTTACCCAGTTTCAGATAGGTGCAAACAATTCTAGAGATGATCAAAATCATACTTGGTGACTCTGAGCAGCAATTGTGTGTAATTATATAATGTAGGATGCCCCACCTACACTTTGGAGCCTGGACAGATGCAATCTCAGGTCAAAAGGACAAAAAGCAGCATCATAATTAATTCACTTAGCTGCAGCACAGACTTTCTCTTCCAGCCTCCATCTTATGATGTCAACTACACAGTTCCTCCACTTCTTAATGAAGTGGGAAGCAGGCCATCAACCTTCAGTAGCCAGTCCCCAGTCTTCATTAGTTCTGCTCCAGGCTGGTACCCCTGTTCTGTAAGCTCAAACAGGGTACATTCCCTGCCTCCTTCAAGGGGTTCTGCAAGCCACCCTCTGTACTGCAGTGCTGCTTGCTGTCCCTAGGCAGGACTGGTGCCTATCATCCCAAACCCTGCTCCAGAATCTATATTTTGTTTTTTTAAGACAAAGTTTCTCTGTGCAGGCCTTGGCTGTCCTGGAACTTGGTCTATAGACCAGGCTGGCTTCAAACTCAAGAGATCCATCTACCTCTGTCTCTCAAGTGCTGGGATTAAAAGTGTGCACTACCACTACCCAGCTTCTTTTTGATTTTTAAATAGTTATCTTCATTTTGTGTGTGTGTGTGTGTGTGTGTGTGTGTGTGTGTGTGTGTGTGTTGGGACTACAGGCATGTGCTACCAAGCCAGGCCTCCTACTCCAAATTCTTTCTCCATTGCCCTTTGCCAGGGCATAGTACACAGTTCTGTGGAGCTTATACTCCTGGCACTAGTGCTTGTTAGATACTGCTGTGCAGTGTTCCAAGTGAGGCAGGGAAGACCAACATTAGCCATTCAAGGACAAGGAGATGTCTCCTCCTTCATCTCCGCCTCTGTGGGGCATCCAGGCAAGCTGATGAGTGAGGGCTGGAGCCTAGGGCCTTCCTACCGTTTGGTTCCCACCCTCTGATTTGGAGCAATGTCAATGGTGTCAGTAACCGCATCATGACGGACAGCCAGGCCCAGGTCTGCAATGGCACACATGCCATTCTTCTTCACCAGGATGTTCTTTGACTTTAAGTCTCGATGAGCAATTCCGGGCTTCCCTGGCAGGGACAAAACCAGGTACATTTAAGGTTGATGCATACATGGAAAATGCATAGATTCTGAGCCAGACTCTGTGGGCCAAGTCCTGGCTCTGCCTCCCACAAGCCAGTGATCCCACGAGCAGCTGGACATTAGAATAATGGCACTTCATGGGAATGTGGGGAGGATAAAGCATTCCCAGAAGGAGTTGACATGCCTCAGAATGACATGGTTATTACTGAACACTAAACCACTACCGCTCACCAGCCGCAAAGAGCCCACATGGGTCAGGTGGACAACTCAGCGCACAGAGCTGATGGCGCTGAAGACTGGGAGTGCCATTAGTCCTGTAACACTAGGGCCTGACTGCCACGCTAGTTTCCTACCTCACCTAGTAAGAGCCACTGCCCAGGGTCAACCAAGTTGCTGGGGCAAGCCCAGTATCTAGAGGGAGATTCCAGTATCTGGAGTGGACAGGACCATGTAGCATAAAGCCTGGGTCCTCTCCAGGAAAACCTGCAGAGAGGTGGGCCCCGTGTCTTGTCACTGCCCAACCTCAGCACGAGATTACTACACTCCTGCTTCTGATGCGCAGGCCTCTTCTTAGTTCCACTACTTCACAGTGCACCCCAGCATGCTGTTTAAACCACACTGTGCCACATATTAACAGCAGCCAAGCCTTCACCTCACACCTTCCCTAGGGGAGGGTTAATGACAGAGCCAATGGAGAAACCCCCTTTGGCTTTTGTTCCTGCTCAGATAGTTTGGCACTCTGTTTCTCAGATGAAAGTACCATTCCCAAAGTTTGACTCCAGTGACCTCAGTGAGGAGGACCAAATGGCGATGGACAGGCCTTTTGTCTCAAGCTTCCTGCTCCTGAGCTGAGTTCACTACCCACCTTGAGTGCCCACAATCTCCATGTGCAGATGTGCCAACCCACTGGCTGCAGACAGGGCCAGCTTAATCATCCCCTCAATGGTCACTGTGTAGCGGTTCAGATAATCAAACAGGGAACCATGCTCGTGATAGTCAGAGACAAGCCACAGCTGGGTCCAGGTGCCATTGTCTGTAGAAAACAAAGAAGGTCTGAACAGAAGGAACAGTAAGCAATAAGGAAGAGGGCCTGTCATGTAAACAAACAATGCCAGGTTCAGGAAGACCCTGAATTTACATTTCTTGCCTCTATATTTCTGGCTGCCCCTTGAGCCCAATTCCCTATAGCAACCTCCAGGGAAGACAGGGGACTTTTTTTAGGCCTGTTCCCTTATCCAAGTGTGGTTGTATGAATGAGATGTCCCCCAATAATCTTGGGCATCTGACTGCTTGACCCCCAGTTGGTGGCTGTTAGGGAAGCCTAGGAGGTGGGGCCTTGCTTGAGGAAGTTATGTCATTGGGGGCAGGCTTTGAGGCGTTCAAAGTCCTGAGCCACCCTTCTGCTTGTAGTTCAAGTTGTGAGCTCGCAGCTTGCTGCCTGCTGCCCCTGCGTCATCATCATGGACTCAACTCTGAACAGTGGGCACAAAGGAAACTCTTCTCTAAGTTGCTTTGGTTGTAGTGTTTTATCGAAACTACAGACAGACAAGTGACTGGGACAGCTGGGAACACTGAAAAGAAGCAGGGACAATTCTAAACAATATAACATTTTACTGCAAAATTTGTAATGTGGGGCATCCAGGAAAGAACAATCTGTGATTAGGGAAAGCAACAGGTTCCAACCCTGATGTGAGGCTCATAAGGCTACTCGCACCACTGCCAAGAAGTAACACCTCAAAGGCCTCTTCCCTCCCCGAATGCTGTGTGACCTTTTGATTATAACCCAGCCCAGCACTCGTCTCACTGGAAATGTTTCTTTGCAGCCTATGGCCATCCTCAGGCTAGGAGCCACGGTGACAGCAGGAAGATCTCCTTTGTACTGTTACAGAACCAAACATGCTTTTCCATGCATGAATAGCCCACTCTGAAGTATCCCGGGAAGCCCAACTTGTCCTTCAGAGAAGCAATGCAAGGTGGACAGCATGCATTGCATTTTCTCTCTTCTCCACAAGCGGCAGCAGGAAGGTGGATGGCAGAGGAAGGGAGGGAAGAAAAGGGCCAGGAATCAAATGAGGCTACGCTGTTGTCACTGGGAAGATTAGAAATTGGACTGACTAAGAGCTTCCAAATTCTAGGCTGGTGCTAGTTCCAGGGCATCACCCTACACAGATCATGGTAAAAAGGCAAAAACAAAGGAGCCTGACTTCCCTCCTCCTGACCCTAATGTGGCGGCACCAGCCGAGGTCACAATTCACATAATAATCAATGGACAACAACTGCTGGAAATGTCTGCACCTCGTCACCTCTGACTACAAAGGCCACACTCTTAACTAGCAACTACTTCCTGAAGGCCCACTGGTTTGTTACAAGAAGATGGTTTGCACCTTCTAACGATTCTAGGACATTTGGAAGTGGAGCTGCTTCCTCAGAGGGCTGACACACTCCCTTCTTCCCCTATATTTGAACCCACAACTCTTCAGCTTGGGGGCAGCTGGGGCCATCACCAATCCCACAGCATCATGAGGAATGAGCTCTGTTGTTGCCTTAGCAAAACCAAAGCTGAGCATTTCCCACAGGCTCGGTGGCAACTAGCCTCTAAAGTCATTGTGACACAGAGCAAGAGCTGTGTCTCAAATGCCAGACACTTCTAAAACATGGCCAATTACCTCACAATTTCTGTGTCACAGGTATATTACCTGCCAGGTGTCTGTCCCCTTGTCCCATGAGAGCTCTGTGTATTTCATTTTTATGATTTGGAAGACTGGTAGAGGCCTCTTATATCTTTTGGACAGTGTTCTAATTATTACCTCTGTGATCAGTATCAAATACAATCCTCTCAGTGTTTCCTTAAAGTGTTTGTTGTGCAAACTTGAGGACCTGAGTTCGGATTCCCACCACTCATATAAAAATATGACATTGTTATGATATGATAAAGTGTGAGGAACCTTGGCAGATTCCATGGCAGGTGAGGGTGACCGAGGTGGGGTACAAACATGCCAGGAAGACAGAGCTTAGTGAGAAGTTTTATTAGAAAGGGAAAGGGGCAGGGGGAGAGGAGAGAGAGAGAGACAGAGAGAGAGAGACAGAGAGAGACAGAGACAGAGACAGAACGGAAGAGAAGAGGGAGACAGGAAAAGTCCTGTCTGCCCAGGGGAACAGCAGGAAAGAGAGCCAGCATAAGTAGGCAGGGGGTTTCTTTTAAAGGGGTCCTTTTGGCCTGCAGGCTGACCAGGGTACTGCCTGAGTACATTCTGCCAGGTGACAGGGGCAGGCCTGCATAATGCCTGAATCCTTACAGGCATGATACATGTTCCTGTAACACTAGCATTGAATTGGGGGTGGAGATAGGAGGATCACAGGCTTGTTGGCAGCTAGTCCAGCCAATCAGTGAGCTTTGGGTTTTGTGAGAGACTATCTCAAAAAATAGGGCAGAGAACAATACAGGAAGACAAAGACATTGACTTCTAGCCACCACACGTGGGCATGCGCGAGCTTGTTGCGT